ATCATTTTATGTAGTAAAAAAACAAATAATACAGTCAACTGGTTTTGCAACACGATATAACAGCAATCAGTATTTCTGTTTTGTAAAATCTTGTATCATGCTCGAGAAAGTGGTTGCACGATATTGGCGGCGTCTTAACTTATCTTCCGACTGCTTATAATCGCAATGCATATATCTGCAAATCATTTCTTTAGCGCTGAATAAAACAATAAATAGTATATGGATTTGAGAGCTTTTGAAAGCATTACTTCTGACATGGTGATATTTGTTAATTCTAGTCCTTTGCTGACCTTTCGAATCAATTCAAAAGCCGTACAAAGTTTCAGAGTCTTTAGGAGCTAAACCATTTTCTAAAAATCTGTTGAGACGATGGCAAAAACCGAAGTGAATATATTTAGGTCCTTAGTACGCTACTCATGGCACAGAACAGTCATTTTACGGAATATCGTGCTACCTCTTAGCATGTTTTCTAGAAACTTCAACTTGTTAATGTAACCTTATCTAGACGAATAATCGACTACCAGTATGTACGTAATCAGCATTTGTAATCATGATAGTAATTTGTAAACATGACCGTAATCCTTGTTACGTCATCTACATGCGTTCAGCTGTGTAAACTTAACAAGATCATTCGTGTTGACTCTATCGCAAGCTCATAAACGCCATGGCTCGCCATTTCTGTGGCCACATTGGTAAACGTAGATGGCTGGGCAACAACGCTCCCGATTACAAACGTCCGAATCAAAACATAAGAAACTTTTCGTCCTAACAGTACGAGAATCACCAACGAGGCCAGCATCATGCGCATTGAGCGATTACTTAGCTCTTGATAAGGATGCCAATATGGCGTTCTACGGGGTTACCAACACCCTGCACTCAAACTTTGATTCTCAAATAATAACTCGTAGATTGTGTCGTTAAAACATTATTGATGTCACAACTCGGCGTAAAATTTTCAATCCGGATAATTCCCACAAAGTTTCTCATTCGTGATCACTGTCACTGCTTAAAACGAATGATTGAGCTGGCGAGACCATATCTATGTACGTCACAACAATTCAACAGACTTGTAAAATTGGCTTTAGTCTAAATCGCTCGCATATGGCTTGTCTTTTTAGCCGGGAATCCACTGTGCTTCAATCAACCAAAGCATGGATTGTAATGGAAGGAATTGGGAACAATGGTGTCAAATATTGCTTAAATCGTTGTAGCTGAAAACTCGTCCATCATACATGACATTCTGATATACAAAGCAGATTTGTGCCATTTTCAAATGCTCTCGACTTCTTAACGCATCGTGCATCTTTGTTCATATTTAACGATCAGAGTTCGCTTTCACTTCGTTGCTGTTCCTGTGTTTCGATTGATTTTTGCGCGTGATCACATTCATCTATTTGACGAGATCAATTGATTGACATCATATCGGGTGGTGCCAATATGAGGTCCAAATGGACTGGATTCATGGCGTGGTTATCAAGATGTGTTATTCATGTGCGCGTGTATACGCACATAACACAGTACATTCCACAATAGTACAATACGTATCTCCTTACAATAATTGCTGAGTAAAGTGCAAGGTTCTCTGCATATAGAACATTTTTACACCAAGTCATTGGTAATATCCTGTCACGAAGGGTTACATAGACTAGAATTGCAGGAAATGTACGAAATCACTACCACACAGGTAACATAGCTCCGCCATTTTCGTTGTTAGAATTTTTGAACCATAAATTCGTTTTAGTCAGTTAATTATATTCATGAAGCTTCAAATGATATTTTTCTAGTTTGTGTAAAAGCCGACCAAAGCTTATATATTTGGATATTCTGGGTAAGCATTCCCCATCCCACAACAAAAGGGTCGTAGATGATTCAGAAGAAGGATGGTTTATAAGAAGTTATCGAAGCTATAGAGGAAAGGTGCGGCAACTACTGCTTCATTTTTAATTTTGAAAGGTTCCAAACAACTCAGAACGGAAGATGGGGCAATTAATAATTTTGTATAAACTTAATCTACATATTCTAAACAACTGTCTATACAGTTACAATTCGGCGGGGCTGCCGTAGCTTTTTGATTAGAGGAAGCTTACAAAGTCACCGACCTTACGTACTATACTAGAACCAGTACGAGTGTAGCAAATCGCAATTTGTTACCTCCAAGAGTACCCTCAACCTTAACCCAAGCCAAATAAACTCTTCCGCTTAAAATTCAAATGTATTCTCTCTGCTTTATATGCGACAGAGCCGCGTATATCTCAACTTTCAGGTTTTTCTGATTATATAGTAAAACCTAATTCAATTGCATAACCACTGGCTGTCCCGCCACGTAGTGGCTTCTTGATAAGGTGTAGCTACACCATTGTGTGATTTGACCATCTTGTATTGCCCAACCCCTCATACCAGGGTACGTGGAACCCCGTTACACTGTCCTCCATAAAAATTGTTGATACCCACATTTCACATTGAACTGTCGCTCGTACGAGGTTTGCGTATCTCAAACGCTTTTACGTCACCAGGACCTTCTTCACGCATTTTCTGCTCAATGAGCCCTGTGACAATGACACGAAAAACAACCAGCTTCGCTAGTTTCGAGAGTGCCCGTGAGTAGAGCCCTTCTTCGTCTCCTGCACGCGGTGCGACTCCGGACAGTACGTCCGCGGCCTCACAGGAAGTACATCTCAAGCCCTCCGCAACCGGGCAACCCCACCGCGGGCGACGAATTTCCTCGTCGAGGATTTGGAGGAAGTCGACTACGAGTCAGATATTCTTTGCCAGGTTAAAAAAAGGCGACCAACGGTGTGACGTGAGCCCTGATCGAACCTTGCAGACACCGTGTCCGTTTTTCAATATCTTGACTTCCGGAGGAAGTGGTATCATTATCAATCGCCTCGACGAGGCACAGGAGCAGCAGTTGAAAGCTGCCCACAGGGCTGCTATCATGCGCTCGCATCCACCGTTTGCCCTAGACCCTCGTGTCGAATACGGCTCCGCTCGACGGATCACGCGTCTGAACCTAAAGACACGATCGCTGGATCGTTTGGCAACTACGTGGTCGGCCCTCCGGCCATTACCCAAGCTGAGCTTGATCGATAAAAAGCTCTCCGAGCTCGCTTCTTCGTACCTCAAGAAATCACAATGGATAGGTACCGCACTCGACCTCGCGCTTAAAAAGAGGCGCTTCTGAACCCGCAGTGCGGACGATTCCTGTGACGCTCGCCTCAGGCAAAATCGCTGCAGATAATGATTAGCTTTTTAATTGATAAGTGCAGCGGCATCGGAAACTTTCCTCGCTGTCTGGCTTATAGCAGAGCCACAAGGAGGTGGACGTGCGCGTAGATCGCCATCTTCAGTTCGAGTTTGCCAAACCCAAGGCGCAACGCCGACTTCCATCGTATTGTCGCCCTGCGACGTATGGATCAATTCATCACGCTCCACGCAAGCTTTGTGGTCTCTCACACGGGTGAGTATACTATCACTACAGCACAGAGCTATAGCTTGCGCTTAGCTCATGGCCCTTCGCCATCCCCAGCTACTGCCGAGAAGCGCGGGCGTATGACGACGCAGAGCGTCATGAGTTCTCTGATCATAGGCGTCCACGACGTTTGGGCGGTCCTGCCGAAGTGGCACCATAAACTCCCATGAGTTCTCGGAGTCGGATTATCCCCGCCACTTCACAACATTCTAGGCTTGAACCTGTCGACGACGTCAACCCACATGGCGTTTCACGTGATAGTGGACGCCACCATTCTCGTTGAAAGCATTCGGCGGCGGACGATGACGACTTGGTCGGTTGTCGTCCGGTGACCCGCGATGCTCTTCGAGCTCCTGAGGACAAGGTCCGTCGCCATCGGTGATCCGCTGAGCATCTTTCGGATGACACATACCGCTATGCGGACGACCTCGAGAGCTTGCAGCATTTTGTGCACTGACTGCCTCACGTTGAGGATGATCGCGCTCTGTCAGAGCGGCTCTTAGCCGTCGAGCAGATGAATGCGTCACTTCCTGTGACGATGGAGCGCCTGGCGCAATTGACTGCAGAGCAGACAAAATTCTGCCATCGCCTTCCTCTCTCTCCTGCCGTCACTGACTTATTTTGTTAGAATTTCTAGATGCGCTTGTCGGGCGTCGCAGATACGATGCACAAAGTATCATAACACCACAGAGTACATGTTGCAGTGATAATATATTTCCTTCTTAGAGTATATCCTAATCCCATGGCCTGGGATCTGCCATCCG